AATGTGAATCAATGAACCAGAGGCCAGGGTTAAACCATAACTGACAGCGTGCCTTATGATTGCGATTTCCAAAACTGACGATGAAAAACATAATTGCGGAATACTTCATACATGCTCATGGTGAAATGCATGGTTCCGTCCACTGACAGTTAACATAGCGCGTCCTTCCAGTGCTGACTCCAGGGGAGTCAGGGAAGAGGAAGGAGGAGGGGAGGCAGGGAGGGGCCAGTTACAGGCACGGTTACAGTTATTTTATTTAAGACGTATGCACGCGGTGGTTGTTCTGCGCCCAGCCGTGCAAGGTAAAAAAACCCACACACAGTACAGAGATACACACATGCGCATAGGCCCAGTTTCAGTCGATGAGTCAGCGGTTAAAACAGTCAAGAATGCCTGGCGCGAGGCGGGGCAGGCGGCCACCGCAGGCAGTCCGTTCCACGAGGTGGCGGCGCGATGCGATCATTGTCGCTGGGTGGCGCTCAGTCGGATGCGCGGCAGACGCAGCGAGACATCCGCATTCTCGACAATGTTATGATGGGTGACGTGAGAAATGCTCAGCTATTTTTTACGGGCCATCAAGTGAAATAACAAATATGAGTAGTCACCTACCACCCGCAAGGTCACACCACCTGGCTCTCGATGTACAGCCACCGACCTTATTCAAGGAAAGAAGCCATACAAGTCCCAGTGGTGTGATGAGACCTAGAATACAGCAATTTAAGAAATATTGATTCTTTTTCTATTGTTTATTATTGTGTTATATTATTTCCCTTTTCACTGCGGATCATGTGACGGTCATTTATCTTATCACCTTTCACTGTTGGACTCCCCAACCATCGCGAGAGGTCCCCTGACGTTCGCCGCCCCTGTCCCTCTTATGCAAATATGACCCTGGCTGACTCGGGACTTTTTGCCGACATAGGATCCTCTGCAAAGCATTGTCGTCTCCTGACAGACACAAGTGCCCTTGGAGATCCAACCTGCCCCCTCTCCCCGGCTAATGCAAACGGCCTTCAGTGACATTCGCGGTATCCGACCTTGCCCCTGCTTGGGAAATAGGCCCGCTGAAGCCAGACCGACACGGAGCCGACCGTTCGGTTTTAATAGTTTCCGACCCGCATCGAGGCGCCCATTGTCCCACCAGGCCACCGATCGGCGCACGCGGTCGGCTGACATGACATGTGAGGGCTGGCACTGCAGGCAAGGCCGCGGGGGTCTTAATGAAATGTGCAGCCATACAGCCTTTCGGACCTTCCAGTCGGTTCCCCTCGGAACCATAGGGGGTGTGGGGGGGGGGGCTTACCCGCCCGCCAGGGTCATCCTGCCGACATTCTGCGCGCTCGGCGGCTGCATTGTTGATAAATCTGGGGGGGGATTACGGACCGATTAAACATGGACACTCGGGCTTTCACTTAAGTTTCCACCTAGTTAATATCCATGAGCGTGGTCACCACCGAAATCACTGAAATAGCCTTTCTGAAAGGAGCCCTTTCAACTCTCACCCCGCTGGGGGTGGGGGGGGGGGGGGGGGTTGCTGGGGCCCCAGCAACTTTCAGGTAGATCGAACTATTTAAGTCGTTATTACGGCATTACGTCCATGTCTATCTCCAGCCACTCGAACTGGTGAAAAACCTAAAACACGGCCGAAAAGCCCCACACTAAAACGCCTTGATCAAAGACGATCAAAACACTCATTGACACAGAAAGGGAGCGCGGCATCTTACGGCCAGTGAACAGTGATGTCGATCTGTTTTTTTTTATTTTGCCGACGCATTAAAAACGTTTTGCAGTTCTCAAAAGCAAGACTAATTTTTTGTTAAAAATGACAGCACGAACAGTAGTGATGCATGCCAATCGGCATATTTCTGGCGTTGAACTCTTGCTTTTTTAACTTAAACTTTTGAAACCTAAGATGATTGCTCCGCATACATACTGGTTGTCTTACCTTAACTGACAGTCGTCGAAGCGCGGGACATGTCGTAAGTATTGCGTCGTTTGTGCAAGTGAGCATTGCCACATAGATTGTCTTGTCTTCCTTTTTGGCTAGAGGTGTTCCGTATTAGATAGAGGTATTCCGACATAACAGGTGGATATGAATTGGATTTTACGGTTCCTAATATGCATCACATGAAGCACGATCTGGATACAACTGAAACAATATGCACGCCGTGCGAATTACGAAATACGAATAAACGAAACCACGACCTCTCGTGGAGACCGCTTATCCACGCTACCGAGGCGTTATTTCGTAGGTTTGATGAGTTGTAAATTTGCTTCTTGAAAGTAGGCCCTTATTCCATGTACGAAATAATCGCATCATGTACTACGTTGCACATCAAACCAATGAATGGTCCGTCCTGATAGCTCAGTTTGCTGAAGCGGCTGCTTTCCGACCCATCAGCCCGTGGTGGGGCGGGCTCGAGTCGTTTTATGCGCTCGCGCTGCTGGGACTGAGATGGCCTGCGCCCGGTGACAGTGGCCGCGTTAAAGGTCAGGTGACGTCAGAGGGCAGGGCGGACCATGCAGAGCATTACGGCACATTAAACTTTCACCTCCAAATTCGGTCTTGGACCTGGAATGTCACCGTCGAATGGTGCAGCCAGGGCTCACGCAACATGTACTGCGCAACATGTGCGCTGATCCCACAAATCAATCCTTTCAAAAAGTCTGGTCAAATTCTTAAAAGCGAAAATGCAGTGCAGTTGTGACAAGCGCATTTTCTACGACATATGTGTGCTCTGGCGCGCCAGAGCACAAAACCCAAACAACATGATCTAAACAAGTATCACGACTGATGGCCGCTTTGTGGCAAGACATTTCAATTTTTTCTCAGAATTTGTTCAAATATTAAAAGATAGGCTGCAAAAATTTCAACATTATGTCTTCAGTCATGTCATACCGAAATAGTTCTCGGAAAACGTTTGAGCGTTCCGACCTTGGGTGGGTCGACTTTGATCACAGGGTGAAAAATGGAACATTTTAACTTGCAATTCATTTGGAATATATGACATTACCTCTACCCAGTGAAATGCTGTACTGGTGTTCGTTTCGTCTCCCACTTTGCGAACTGCGATAAGAAGTGTTTCCGAATATGATTGCGGTAATCCACAGTTAAAGAAGGTGAAATTGCCGTGCCTTATGTGTTGTTGATGATAATGAGCTATCTGGATTTATAAAATCTGGTATTCTGACGAAACGAAAAATTGCGCTGGAATACAGTTTATGGTTGAAAAGATCTGCAGCAGGATGAACGTGATGCTGACCCCGTCGAATTTCATACAAGCTTGGAGAAGGCTACAAAAAAGAACGGGGGTCAAAAATGACTCGTGACAAGTGATGACAATCACATGATGTCACAATGATAAGTGAGCCAAAACATCAGGAGACGCTATGAATGGCTACGAATGGAAACGTAGGCTACGCTATATGAATGGGAATATTAAGCAAGCCCATTTCAAGGGCTTTCACGACGTATTGATGGCAAATAATGGCGGTGAACACTTGATCACCCCAGCTGCCCCTCTCCATCACTTCCAAGATCATACACGTTCGCCTGCACTTGTGGATAACAGCTGTGCTATTGTTTGTCATTCCGCTGACTTTATTCCGTCGATTTTACAGCAATAGGGATTCAAACCCGGTGCTCATGTATGAACGGAAGATGCTGACCTGACCCTAACCCTGACCGTTCGGTCAGGACACTCTAATAACGCTTGAGTTGATCCCAAAACGTCCTGATCGAATATGCATGTGTCCGCATGCTAACCATCGCCAGAACTATGTAACGTAACGTAACGTAAAAGCCACTCTCAAATGTTTTGAAGGCGTCGTGCAAGTCATGTATCAATGTATCTAAACGAATCTATGTGTCTATCAATGTATCTATCAATGTATCAAGTCAATGTATCTAAACGAAACATTGGCCAACAGTTCTTACAGCTCTTCCGCAAATAATCTGCAAGCTTCAGGCTTCTTCTGTATTAGTTCCCGAACCTATTGCTTTTTCCAAACTGATGTAAGGGTTAGTTGTGTTTGCCGGAAAGCAGCCGGCCGCACGAGGCATCCCTGTCCATGTGTGCGCTACATCTCCTCGGGTGGTTCTGAAGCTGTCAATGTGTTATATAAGGCCGCCATCAATATCATAACAACTTGTGAGGTAATTCGAGGTCAGAGTCATTCCAGGCCAAGCCCAAAACAATATACTAAATGCGCTCTAAAACGCGACATGCTTTGAACCAGTCACCGGGTGTGTAATGGGTAATGGTAAGATCACTTTTAACCGAGGCCAAGTGAGGCCGTCTTCCGTACAGGCTGCAGTAGCACTTGCATCCCTATCACAGCATGCTGATATCGCAATCGTACATGAAAAGGGACGCACGGGGTTCATCTAAGGTCAATGTCATGGACTCAAGGAACGAATTCAGGTGATTGCATGACGCACCTTGGAGGTAAACCCTTACAGGACTATCACCTGACCTCTGTGCAACTTGTGCAGAGGTACGCATGGGCAGCAAAAAGCGAACTCTGACTGCGTTGTCCTGATCTGGCAGGCGAACCGTTGGATATCTTGCAAACTGATTTGGTAAAAGCTATGGATTATTCACGAAGCTGCCGCCTGGTTTTTAATTTTCTCCAGCATGTCTGGTGTAAAACCGACAGGGGCATCTCTCTGCACTCCAATTCCGCCCTCCATTCTGCGGAAGGTGGCGGGAGTAGCGAAGCTGGCGAGGGCACATTAACAGGAGCAATTTCACTGCAACATTGCGCTCGGGAGCGTCAAGTAGGGCACGTAATACAGTGGACTTGTATCGTACCTAGCGTGACCCCAAATCCACGCCGATGATAATGTTCAGTGCTGCAAGCCGAGAGGGCTGGTGAAGCCAATCTCTCCTACATGACGAGAAACGAGAATATCCGGGAGGCTGTGCAGCACCGGTCTGTTCGATGGGCCGGTATCAGTGATCTGTCCAGCAGGCGGATGACAGCTCCGTCTTCCGCAGGATGAGCGCGGACAAGGCGACGGCCAGCCCGTCCAGCAACCGGGTCAAGCTGGACAAGGCCAACAACTTCATGCGTCAGTTTCGCGACGCCGAAAGTCGCCAGCTGAAGAAGCTGACAGCCAACCAGTTCATGGAGGTGTGGAGCCACTACGACGAAGACGGTAGGTGTAGTGACGTGGTCCTCGTGCTGCTCCGACGTGGTACCAGTATGGATTGTGAATGCACTGTCCCTACACTGTTCAGACTTTCCTTGACACTCGCAGACACTGTACAGGTACTGTTCTGAGCGTGCCGGCACCGTGCCCACACTGTCCCCACAGACTGAGTTGGTCCTAAACGATCATTTTTTAAGAACCATTTCACCTTGAGTGATGTCGTATGTATTTGGGGCTTGCTAAAGAGGTGCATTTTTCCTGCAGGAAGCCGTAAATCGACCTACCTAAAAATATTTTGTTCTTTTCCATATTGTCGTTAATGTGTAGAGACGTCATTGAGAGAAACTGTTCATCCTTTGTTACACTTTTCAATTAATAATAGGTTAGACGCTTGCGGGTTGATCAGTAATGCCAGTTTTCTCTAAATCCTTCTGAACATCTCATAATTTCGGTTTAAAGTAGCCACTCCCGGGGGAAATCTTTCTGGATTTCCTGCTTACCACTACGAAAGTAAAACATTTCATTTATCTTGGTTTTTCCAACATGTATGTTCTGTAATGTTAGCAACACACTACTTTGTCAAAATTTGGTGAAATAAATGCTGCGAAAGTTTGAAGCACTCTGCTTGGACAAAAAGTATATGCGAAGAGGTGTGCGAGCACACAGTTTTTATCCCGCAAATTCCACGAAACGTTATACCATGGCTTTGATTTCTCCCTATAGGCGTTTGTCACGGCGGCTCTTTTCGAGGCGTGCTTTGGCCTTGTGAATGGGTGAATCACATGGTCTGTAATGACACATTGGTCGAAGTTTGAACCAACGCGCTTCTCGGTAACTGGCCCTTGCCGCCGCTGGGCCAATCACAAATGTTCTTTTTTATCGCACCAGCAGAGGTGGCACGGAGGTTGACATAACGACGGCGATTGCGACAACTGCACGGAAGAAGCATAGTGCTGTTACAGAACCGTAATGTGTAATGGTGTAAGGTGTAAGGTGTAATTTGGATTACAAAAGAATACAGATTGAATCCCTTTTGTGGAAAGCAATTTCTTTTGTGTCTTGGTGGTGCTGCAGTGGCACTATAAAGTGATATTATTAGACTAACCAGTCCTGATGTTTCATTCGGCTACGCGCTTGAAACAAGCTCTGAAAGTGGTACACCCCCTTGCAAAATGTCGGGATGCTACCGATCTATCAATTACATTCGTTTTCACACACTCATTACTACAATATCGCCTCAAGCTCGATAAGTAGTGCAATGTATCAAGAAAACATGCATGGTGATATTCGCGTCATTAATGCAAGTTATTGCCATCACTTGATGCGGCTTGTTTCACTATACACGTTGACTTAGTGGAATGGTTTGCCACAGTACACGGCATTGTACACACCACACGTGCGTATTGGTATTGTTTGCAATCTTCGTTTTGTTTTTTCTTGCTAAGCTGGCCACGACTGAACACGCACGTCATGTCGCTGGAACCTACGTCATCTTTGGCCATACGGTTTCATCAGTTGAGAATTTCACGAATTACAATTGTTGTCACCCGTGGTATGAGAACATGTCAGTTTTTACATCTCTCGAAAGATACAGGTTCGACTTTGCGTTGTAAAACGGCGATGAATTCGTCGTAAAAACGAATACACTGTTAGAAGATACTATTCGAAAAATTTGAAACGGAGTATAAACGGTTTAAGTTAAGAATGCATTTTTCATCAGTCACAGTTGCTGTGTTTATGATCCAATTTTCTTGCAGCGTACATGGTTCAATAGACACCATTTTCATCTAATGCACACTCATATTGTGGGTTAAAAAATAGACATTTCTAGGCGGCGCAAAGTTTAACAGAATGATTCATTTTTTACAGAATCCTAAAAATGGTGTTCTAAACATACACCTGATGAAGAAAGACTTAAGATATCAGCGCTAGGTAAAGGCATCTATCAATGCTAGTTGCCATTGACGGATTTACAAAATCACAAACGGGCGTAAATGGGGATGTCAAGTTTGGACATGCCAGGGCACTGCGTGCGTTTATTTTTTACCAGCCAGGTTTGCTTGGTAATTCAGGTAAATTTTACAAATATTTTTTCTGGCATATTTGATAATTTCTTTTGTTGATAAAGCCAACTACAGGAATGGTTTGAAATTTTTAAATGACACCAACTGAAAAGTAAATCTTACCGACATGCCATCACTGCACCATAGACTTGCATAATCAACAGCTATTACTTTCGTTCAAACATACCTATCAGAGGTGTACCTGGAGCATTAGGAATAGGAGAGGAACAGAAGTGTACCGAATGTTGAGAAGAAGACAAGCTTACTGACATATTACGGGCACTCCATCATTTTTTATCCCTTTCTTCCCTTCCCTAGAACCGACCACGCGCGCAATCACCTGTTTCTTCTACACGCTTCATAAACATGCGTGCTTTACCTAAAGCACTACTAAGACTCGAACAGGCAAATGAACGAGCATAATTTGGCCCAACTACTACCTGCCTTTCCCACTTGCCCTATGCGAACAAGCCCCTGATATTATTACAGCTCGATGTGCCGAAATATGCAAACATACAGGTTGCATAATTTGAGACTCAAAAGGTAGCCATCGTATAACAGCGTAAAACGTTCTAAATGCCACCTGATATTGCTTTAGTTGATTCTTCATACTATCCCTGAACTGTCTCTGTGACAATTTTCATTCAACGGATGTGAGCTTACACTGTGTGCGCATGCAATCATAAACGTCAACAGGAAGACGGCATAGCAGAATCGTTAGGAAATGGCGAAAAAAACATCCTGCGACTGAATTTTCCTCTCCTGCACGGAATACGGTAAAAGCGCATTCAGCACGCTGTGTTATTGCCGAGCAGTGTCTGTATGAGACGGCAACAAAATCTGACAATACCAGGCCCATACGCGGATTTGAAAAAAAAATAGTTTTCTCTTCTACTTTTCTGTTTGATGCATGCTATTTGTATATGTACTTAGGCTGCTTATAATGTGAATATTACGATGTCTGAAAATCGATGAGACCCGTCATAGATTATGCTGCCGCTCGCGTTCAACTGATGCTTGCCGAACACGTTTGTTTACGCCGGCGAACTTCCAAACAACACTTGAAGTCTCATTAATCTTCGGGATGGCGCTTTCAGACAAGAAGCGAACTTTTGCGAAAGTCCAAAAGACGGAAAACCAATAACAAAACATTCCACGAGACGTCCCAGTTTACGTGGGAATAAGACCGAGAGCATACTTGTCTTGGGACAGAAAATACACTCCGGTTAGATCATGGACAATTTTGACCAACAGCTTGTAGGCTATAGACGCGGGGCCTTTGTGGCACCTCACGACACAAGATATCCATCCGCTCTCCTGGCTGCATCACTACATAAGACTGAACACAAATTGTCCTATTAACTAGTTATCTCATAAGCACATTGCGTCATCGATGTGATATGAATTTTTCCCGACAAAAAAACATTCATAGCCTCCCAAAATGTGAAAACCACAGGATGCTTAGTGATAATTAGCTCAGCTACAAAGTACCAACTTTTCTTAATGCGGAAAGCTTACGCCACCACGGCAACCAATTAAAAAAACCGATTATACCACATCATAATTTTTCTTGTAGATCACCTGCTCCACCCGATTTTCTTTCAAGTTGAGCCTTTCATTTCGAGGCAAAAATCGATGCTCAGCGAGGCATGGTATCTGTAATGCCGTCAGATAGAACACACAGGTAGAGTTATATCCTTTCAAATATTTAAAGTTCTTACCGACGTCTCGAGTCGATGATGCTTGCAAACTATTATTCTCATAGCCACAGAAAATTACTCTTTTAGCCATCTCAAAGATCCTGAAACACCAGTTAATCGAGTAAGCAACCAACCGTTCCCACCATTGGTTGTTTACTCGATTGCGTCAATATGCTATATCCAACATGCTCACTTTGCCCTAGAGAGCAAAGTGAGCATGGTTGGAGAAAGAGAGAGAGAGAGAGAGAGAGCGAGGGAGAGAGAGAGAGAGAGAGAGAGAGAGAGAGAGAGAGAGAGAGAGAGAGAGAGAGAGAGAGAGAGAGAGAGAGAGAGAGAGAGAGAGAGAGAGAGAGAGAGAGAGAGAGAGAGAGAGAGAGAG